ATGTCTCCAGTGGACTAGTGCTCTATATAGGGCATAGCTGTCTCTTATACACATCTAGATGTGTATAAGAGACAGGAATCTGCCTAGGAGATAATGTCTCCAATGGACCAGCGCTCTATATAGGGCATAGAGCTCACGCTCATACGTGAACTTAGCTAGCTTTTGCGACGGTGTCTTCTTACTCATATACTCGATCGGTCTCAACGTTTTCCCCTCCTTTTGCACAAGGACCGCGTCTATGCCATATTAGCTGGCGTCTGTGGTCACAACAAAGGGTTGTTCGGGATCCGAAAGTTTGAGGACTTCGTAGTATGTCAGCGCATACTTTAATTTCTTGAAGGCCGCTTCACACTCGTTAGTCCACTCCCAAGGGGTGTCTAGTCGAGTTAGATCTGTTAATGGGGAAGCTATAGTACTATAGTTCTTAACAAATGGACGATAGTAGCCCGTCATCCCCAAAAACGATCTGAACACAGTAACAGTATAAGGTCTGGGCCAATCCCATATGCTGGCCACTTTGGCATCGTCCGGCCTCAACCCTTCCGCGGAGATCTCATGACCTAAGTACATGATCTTGGTGCGACCGAAAACCTTGTACTGGTGCTGTCTTAGGAGACCTAGCACTATTTTCAAGTGCTCGGCGTGCTCCTCTACAGTCCTACTAAAGATAAGAATATCGTCGAGGTACACGACAATAAACTTGTCTAAGTACTCATGAAAAATCTTATTTATTGCGTGCTGGAATGTCCCAGGAGCATTGCATAGGCCAATGGGCATCATCACAAACTCGTACAGACCGTACCTGGTCTGAAAAGCGATCTTGTGTTGTTCCTCAAGTCTAATGGCAATTTGATGGTATTCGAACTTCAGATCTATCTTGTGAATTACCAACATCTCTGCACTCTATCTAATAGATCGTCGATGCGAGGTAGGGGCTCTGCATTCTTTACCGTGATGGCATTGAGGCCCCTATAGTCAATGCACATCCTTAAGGTACCCCCCTTTTTAGGGACAAATACGACTGACGCAGCGTAAGGGGAGGTACTAGGCCAAATCCATCCCTTTTCTGTGAGCTCCTTGAGCTGGCGGCGGAGCTCATCCAACTCCACAGGAGACATCCTATAGATTCGTCCTCTAGGCACCTTACTACATGGAACAACCTCTATCACATGGACCACCTCCCTTTCCACCACACCTGTGGGCTCCTAAAAAAGATTGGAATATTGTGCGACAACTGATTCTATCTCTGGGGGTGTTTTAACGACCTCTCCTTTCTCAGAAACAAAGACTAGATACATGCCCTCTTCGCGATTCTGCTTATAGTAGTTATAGAAAGAGGATGCGCACATGCATCCGTAATTTTCCACTAGACTGCTAGCTCTAAACTTTTGCAATCTAACGATTTTACCATTGGGCAGCTTGTGGATCAATACCTTTCTATCCCAATCAAATTCAGGCTGAGCAACCTCGAGGTAGTACATGCCTAGTAACATATCAAAGGGTAGTTCATCGCTAACGAGGAATGAGATTGTGTGTCTCACTTCCCTTTTCCATAAGAGAAGGAACAGACTACGTCCTTGACATAGTCTTTAACTACCATTTGGTGCTTGTTGGCTACGTAGAAGCTACAGTTCTGCTAAGCCGCTGCACTTGGTCCCCTAAGCGCAGTCTAGAGAAGGAACAGACTACGTCCTTGACATAGTCTTTAACTACCATTTGGTGCTTGTTGGCTGCGTAGAAGCTACAGTTTTGCTAAGCCGCTGCACTTGGTCCCCTAAGAGCAGTCTACCCCCACAAGCACGACTGATGAAATTTTGTGTAGAGCCTATGTCTGCGAAGGCACCTACTTTGCGGCCACCTACATCAACCTGTACCACAAAATGTTCACCCTTTGGACCTCTACCGATCATCGCCCAAGAGTCTCTGGGTCCTTCCCTGACCACTCAGACTTTAGACACATCTCTCGAACAGAGCGTCGGTGGGTCTAAATGTGTCTGCGAGGCGATGTATGGGTCACTAGCCTTGGCCAATGCCTGAAGTGAGGAAGGCAACGTTACCACTTCAACGCGAGTAAGAGCGGCTAACACTCCTACTGGCCCGAGGTGTTTCCTTGCGAAGTGCTCGCAGAAGCACTGCTAGCCAGTACCAGGGTTCGAAGATAAGCCCACCACCGTTGGTGAGGCTACCTTCGTAGTAACCTTCTTGCCTCGACACGTTCTAGACGTGTGGCCGTAGTTGCCACAGTTCATGCACGTGCCCCTAACAACTTTATCCCTCCACACCTCGTAATCTAAAACAAGTTTTACCCATGCGAGTGTTCCTTCGTCGCCTTGATCCGTAGACCGGCCTACCTTCTTCTTCCCGGTCCCCCTAGACTTTTCCTTTATAGGAGCCACAACTCCCCCATCCGAAGTCTCGCTGGTCCCATCATGCTCTGTCTCATCCCCATAGTGTGGAAAGTCATCAATTTATGTCGTCTGACCATCATGGTCGACGAACATTAGTTGACCTTTCTTCTTCCAATCCTGGGGAAGTCTCTTCTTCCTACCATCTCCCTGACTCTGATGCGCGGACCCAAACTTTGCCTCTATATCTAAGGTTTTCTTGTTGAAAGAAGCAAAGGTATGTTGGTCGGCGTAGGCCTCATCCACCAGCTTAGTCATAACTTCTGAAGGCAGACATCTCAAGTAATCCGTGAGGAGTACCTGCTGGTCGTAGCACACACCAGGTACCACGACCAGATGTTCTACGGTGTCTGTGATCTCGCGAACATTCTTGTACCTTTTGGCACACAAATTGTTGATCGCGTCGGTGGCCTTCTGAGGCCCCTGAGGGTCATGCCACCTATTATACACAGACCGTACGAAGTCTTCCAATGTCTGGGTCTGGGCCTAGGCATCGAAATTCTGACTGTAGCCCTGTTGTTGCACTAAGCCATTCAACCAACGCGCTGCCGATCCCTCTAAAAAAGAAGCAGCAACTGTGACTTCCTGCTCTGGCCTGGTGAGCTTGTGCCTCACATAGGTAGGCACAATCCTCACCCAGGTATCCAGGTCCTCGTCCTTCTTCCTGTCGCCAAAGAAGGGCTTAGGACTCAGCAAGGGTATCTTGGACATCCATTGCATAGGTTGGATCTACCCAGACGATTGATGCAGTGGCTGCATAGCCACTGACACAAGTTGTTGCATGCTAGTCTACGGTTGTCCAGACACTGGCACTGTAGCTGCCACCGTCCTAGATGGTACGGTAGAAGAGACAAGAATTGGACCACTAACTACTGGCTGACTACTTGAAAGAGGGATGCCATACATGGTTGAGAAGAGAGGGCCCTACCGGCGACGGCGTCACTGAGGGACCTGCAACCAAAGGGGGAGCAACAACATACTGAGGTTGTCTCATCATAGGACGAGGAGCCTGCAGTGCAGCCAAAATTTGTCTCTGGCCTGCCACTAGTTCAGCCAGCACTTCCTGCTGGACAACCTGCGTTTCAGCCACGCAATGCTGCGAGTTACGCAGTGCTTGCATAGCAGGATCAAGTGTGGACTCATCTAATGCTTCTAACTTGCTTAGCTCCTGTCTCCTACTCCCTAGTCTAGCTTTTCTAAGTATAGCCCTTTGCCTTCTCTCCGCTGCCTCTCTCAGTTGTTTCTACAACTCATTATGAAGTTCTTCTGCTCGAGGATCTCATAATCCTCTGCTGAGAGTTGAGGTTGCTGGCTGACTTGCAAGCCAACAGATTGACTAACCATACCTTGGGTACCCTGACTCGTTCCGGACGAAGAGGCCTAGGACACGGCCTGTGACACTGTGGAAGAAGCAGCCATAGTTGTGTCTGTGTTGACCTCGGTCCTAGCCCCAGCAGGGCCAACACTATATGCAGTTGCTCTTGCTCTCCTATCTCCCTTGCCCTGGCTTCCCTTCGCAGTCTCCTTTCGTCTCCCGGACCTAACTCCTGGAAGGTGAGTGAACGACTGAGAGCGATTCTACGAGTTACCCTAAGGTCTTCGACGAGTTCTTCCTCCTCCTCACTATTGACAGCTTCATTCACGAGCTACAGTGTGTGTAGTCTAAATTAGAACCCACACTGGATCCTACCTCAACAGGACATACAACCGGTTAATGTTTGACTCTAAATTCGGTAAGCCTAAGAAGAAGTAGTCAAGTGGTAACCAGCAATCAATGTCAGGTCCTACAGGGAGTACTAAACATATTTTTATATTACTCTGAAACAAATTGCATGCAGCAAGAATTTCTATCTATCTGCAGTTGTCTGTTGGTTGTCAGTCAAGTCTGTAACAACTAAATAATCAAAAATAAAAATGATATTTCCTGCAGAGATGTATGTTGGATGGCCGTTTTCTAGTTAATGTCACAGTGAACAGTTACCGGAATCCAACCCTCTCCATGTATCCCTCTTGAGTAGTCACTTTGTGTCGACGTTCCTAAGCATCTGGTTGAGCAACGTGTCTGAAGGTGTGCAATCCGACCCACCCTTGTGCCCCAAGTCTATGCCGAACCTGCCAGCCCCTGCACCTTATTTATCCTCGCATGCAACGAGCCTTACACCTGGTTTGATCTGGCTGATCAAGAGGCAGTTTAAGGACAACCGCCAAGGTCCTCAGGAATTATTTAGCGTTGCAGACAGGACGACGATCACAGCCAAAGTCAACACCGAGTCCCCGCCATAAATATTTAAAAACGATCTGGAAAGGGTCGGCATGCCCTGCATGACCTCTATTGCACAGCAGCAGAACCAAGGACTTGCGGCAAAGCATGTGTGTACTAGTCCCAACGGGTTGGCATGGTGACCGTGACCCGAGTGCTTCGTCCAAGGCCCTTCAAAGGCTTCGCCCGTCTCCCACCAGCTTGCTACCCAGGAAGAATGTCGACTCTCAAGGTTGAGCACTCGTGACGCCTCACATTGAGAGGACTCTCAAACATAACTCACTTCCTCACGGTAAAAGTAATGAAGAGGGTAGATAAGGAAGAGAGCAACATACCTCATAATGTTGCCCCCAACCACAAATTTCTCACCGGCAACCTGATGTGCATTTATGATGACCGTTTTTTGTCTCGGCACAACCAACAGCAGAATGCAGTTCCATCTTAGCTTAAATGCCACATCAGCGAGCTCTCCTCATTCAGCGTACACCCCTAATGTCGCCACATAGCTTCCTGGCGTGCCCACACAACCCTGGGCAGCCTACCGTTCAACGCCCAAGCCTTATCACTGCCCCACACCTCATGCGAAGCACCGAACAGCTATTGCGAAGAACCAATGAAGCGCAGTTCAAACCAGCTCCGATACCAAATTGTAAGGAAAATGAGCAGTAGCGAGATGACAATGTCTGAAATACACAATCACATTGAAGGCCAGATAGTATCACAGTGTCCAGAAAGCAGAAATGCACTAATATAACACCAATGAAGAATTGTAACACTGAAAACCAATGTCAATGAGAGCTTGCTCTCGCCACCACCAACATGAGTATCCAGGCCCTATCTTCCTACTTGGCGCTCGGCGCCCAGCCTACGTCCTACACAGCTACAGTCTGCCTACTAATTGACAATGCAACCGTTGACGTCAGCAGCCCACAAAGTACTTGAAGATGCTGCCCAATGAAGACCATCGCCCATACCAGGTATGTGCCCTCACGTCATCATCATCATCATCCTTCTCTCTTTCCCCTGACTTATTCCCACGTCTTCCCTCTGTACACCCGAAGACCACCCCTACGCCTCACTGTACAACCAAGCCCTCAACCAGCTATGGAGGTTGGGCTATGGCATTGCCCTCAGCAGCGCCCTGCTTCCACACCCAACCACACGTGCGCAGCACTTTGCTCTAGCGCTAGCAGCCAACACGCAAGCGAAAGCTCCAGCAGCGCTGCCGCCAACCAGCAAGTGCCCGAATACCCGCCCAGGCAGTGAGCTCTTTCCTTTATGGAATGAGCCTCGCTGCTCTGGCGGCCTGTCTGGCTTGGGCCTCTGCCCAGGAGCTTCTGGTAGGCCTAAGGAGGTTGTGCCTCAGATGCAGCTGATGGGCTTCGTTCAGTTGGGCCTCCCAACTGTCTGTGTATGAGGCTGCGAATCTCGTCCAGGGCCTGCATAATTTTGGAAAGGCTTAGACGTTCGTGGCGTGTCTCGCTGCTCGGCCTGTGTTTTCCCTCAACCAACTGGCGCGACAAAATTGCCTGGATCCCAAATACGAAATTGACAATCGAGGGCCTTTCGTGATTTGTTAAGCCCGCCTTCACTTAGGGCGGGCACAAATGCAACAACAAACCCTTAGGCCTGCCAAAAACTCAAATCCTCGCAAAAGAAGAAAAAACTGAAAAAAATCGAGGTTGGGGGTGGGAGAGAATGAAAAAATGATGGAGAAAGAGAGAAATAGGCGAGAAGGAGAAAAAAATTGAAGTGGGAGGTGGGGGGATGATTAGGTTGTAGTTGGGGGAGGGAAGGGGGAGAGTAGGGTGGGAGAAATGGCAAAGAAAGTGATGAGAAAAGTGGGGAGGAGTAGAGATTTGTAGAAGATGGTGAGTGGGGAGGGGAGGGGAGAAAAAATGGTGGAAGATGAGTGAAGAGAGAGGTAAGAGGGGGGGGTAGTAGTGGCAGAGGTAGAAGAGGTGATGAGATGGTGTGGGGAAGAGAGAGGGGGAGGTGGGAGAGTAGGTTAGTGGAGAGATGATATCAGGCTCTTGGTTGGCCAAGAGCAACAAGATCACCAAGATCCACTAGATCTTGGCCTTCAAGATACTGGCAGCCTGCTGCTGCAGCAGAAAATGACAATAATAATAATAATAATAATAAAATAATCAAGGGTTGGCTGAGATCTTGATCAGCCACCATGATTACACTGATGCGCTGCCCCCTAGCCAAGGAGTTCTTCACTGCTGCCAAAGTGCTGCTACAGCAGTAGAAGAAATAATCATCATCACCATCATCATCTAGTTGTGCTGAGATCTTGATCAGCCATCCAGATCTCCCTGTAGTGCAGCCCCCTAGCCAGGAGGGTCTTCAAGCTCCTCAGCAAGTTGCCACGTGGCGGATGGCCACGAGCGCAGGCAACAACAGCCACGATGCCCCTGCCACCGGGGGTGGGATGGGGGGTTAAATAGCTGGCGTGGCACTCTTCAACACCAGCGTGTGGCCAGAGTGTTAAGGTGCTAGCTACGCACGCGCATGGCTGGCAGCTGCCCAGGTTCAAACCTTGGCAGCAGCGTGCATCCCGGATCTTGATAAATATAATCCAGGAGCGGGACGAGGCAGGGCAGCGTGGCGCGCGTGCATGCGGCAGCCTTGGCCTTGGTGTACGTGGTGTGGTGGTGGGAGCGGGAACGTTCCCGCTCTGATACCAGTGTGACGGACCCGCCAGGATGGCGGTCCGTCAGGATGAGGACGACGGGGTGATGGAGATGGAGATGGAGATGGAGATGGAAGGGACAGCGCAGCTCCGACGCGGACTAAACACACACATACTCCAAAATGTGCAGAATAAAGAATGACTGAAAACAAACAACAGCTGGGGTATACCCCCAGCGGACTGAAAGGACTGGACTGGCCTGGTACCGACAGTGGTACTGGGCAGGACTGGACTGGACTGGAACAGCACACGGCCTGTGGGGTCAGGCCACAGCCTACAGGCAGAACAGGCAAATGGCCCAATAGGCCCTGGCTGTAGGCCAGGGCAGATAGAGGTCCGCTGCAGCTGTGGTCCAGGTCCAACGATGGACTTACGTGTAACTACCTCCCTTGTGTCCTCGCACGAACCGCCGCTGCAACTTTCCCGCTCCTTTTTCACAGTGCGGAGTCAAGGGTTAGGTGGAAGGGTGACTGACTCAAATATTTTTTAATCACATACTTCCATCTCCTTTTTCCCAGTGGGGAGTCTAGTTTTTTTTTTTTTTTCATTCTAAAAATTCCATTTGAGGCCCGACACCCAAATCCTTTTCTTTCTCTTTTCCTCCGGGTTGTTTGTTGAGGATTCCTGGAGGGAGATCCCACTACCGATGTATGTGGATTAGTGTATAAGGTGTGTGACTGTCAGGCATCGTGGATTTGGCAGGAAATCAGGGGTAGTTTTTGTGAATTAAGAGCGGGGAAGGGATGTTTTTTGTTGCTCTCCCATTGATAGGTTTGTCTTTCGTTTTTGTTGTGGGGGTCCTGTGGCGGTCCCAAATGTGTGTTAAATCAAGACCAATTTTTTTTGGTTCATGAAATCACGCACTTTTCATTCACGGCGAAGGCAAAGATGAATGGCTTCATCGCTGGAAATTGATTGTGGCTTGGGAGGGTTCGATCCCCTCACCTACAGCAAATGGCATATGGAGTTACTCTTGTTCTCCTTTGCCAAAGAGAATTTCTGTCAGAACAACCCAGCAGTGTGCACTGCAGCCCATTTCAGCGAAGCCTCAAACTATTGTCAATGAATATGTTCCGCGTGCCTGCTCACATGCATTCGTCTTGACTGCCACAGCCACACGGCAGCCTCAAACTATTGTCAATGAATATGTTCTGCGTGCCCGCTCACATGCAGTTGTCTTGACTGCCACAGCCATGGTCAGTGAATCATACCCTGACATCTGACACCCCGCCTGGAGCAGACACCAGCTGTGAGAAGACCACTTTCTTTTCCTTTTTAGCGTTTTTTCCTTCATTTGTTTGGTCCTGAAATGTTTTTTTCGTGTTTATTTTCCCTATTCCACGCTGCCACCCACGAGCGCGATCCCACTAGCCATGTACTTGGATTAGTGTGACGGGTGTGGGACAGGTGGGGGCCACCCACGAGCGAGATCCCACTAGCCATGTATTTGGATCAGTGTGATGGGTGTGGGACAGGTGGGGGACAGGTGGGCCGCAGCGCGGAATACGGAAAATAAATGCAAAAAAACATTTCATTGCCAAACAAATGAAGAAAAAAAAGCTAAAACGGAAAATAAAGTGCTCTTCTCACAGATGGTGTCTGCTGCAGGCGGGGTGTCAGATGTCAGGGTATGATTCACTCACCATGGCTGTGGCAGTCAAACGACTGCATGTGAGTGGGCACAGGGACCATTTTCATTGACAATAGTCTGAGGCTTCCTTGAAATAGGCCGCAGTGCACGCTGTTCTGCTGTTCTGACAGAAAATCTCTTTGGCAAAGGAGGGCAAGAGTAACTCCATACACCATTTGCTGTAGTTGAGGGATCAAACCCTCCAAAACACCTCCCAAACCACAATCAATTTCCAGCGATGAAGCCATTCGTCTTTGCCTTCGCCGTGAGTGAAACGTGTGTGATTTCACGAACCAAAAAACTTGGTTCTGATTTCACGCACGTTTGGGACAGCCACAGGACCCCAACAACAAAAACAAAAGAAAAACCTACCAATGGGAGAGCAAAAGAAAACATCGGGCTTAATTCACAAAAACAGGCTACGTCTGATTTCCTGCCGAATCCACAATGCCTCACAGTCGCACACCACTAATCCACATACATTGGTAGTGGGATCTCTCTCCCGACCGCTCTTTTGGTGTGCGCAATCAAATAAGCGGAGTTAAGAAAAAAAAATAAAAAAATCAACCAGGAGTACTGACAGCATCAGCCAGCTTAGCTTACAGGCTTGTGCCTGCAGAAAGTCAATATCTACGACTTTCCAGGTTCCTACCACGGGCTCAATGTACAGTTCTGAAGATACCATACATTGTCAAGTAAAGTAGCCATAGAACAGCAGTATAACCAACCTCCAAATGCACTGCCTAGCTATTCTACTTCCCGGACTAGCATGGCCCAGAGGACTACTGACACTCTTCTAACGACCCACTGCGGCGCTAACGGTACCAAGTGTCTGATACATAGGCAAGCACTGTTTCTAACTAGAACCACCAGACCGAGTGCTCTGGTCCTGGGGTATGATGGCTAACCTGCCCTGGTGCCAACCTGGTCACGCTACTAACTCCTGCGTTCTGTTCTAAGAAGCTACCCCGGCGACTTGCCTCTTTGTTGTCCAAGTCTGTCACCCAAGGAGACAGGGTGAGGCCGCGAGTTGAGTGGACTCCTGCCAGTCGATTTCCCCCGGCCCAGGTGTGTGAAAAACACTCCCTTCGCTTCCTGCTACCTTTCCACTGTTTTGCCTTCTTGCGCCAGTCGACCCTGATTGCATGCTTCACCCCCTGCTTGTTTCTGCTCTTGATCTGTACGTCAGATAGGGGAGGAGTCAAGGGTAAGGTGGAACGGTGACGGACTCAAGTTTTTTTTTTTTTTTATCACGGTGAAGTGCGGCTCAAGTGTGGCACTTGAAAATCAAGTCAAGTGCAGTGGTGCGAGGCCCTTAGCCGCGGCCATTGCCAAACAACTTGTATACATAAAAGATATAGCAATTGGTAATTGATGATATTATGATCTGACCACTTACCAATCGGTCGTTCTTCACCCATCCAGGAACAACTTCGATCGTAACAGGGTTCCCAGTGCCATATTTCTTGTCTACAACAGTTACGGCGGTGGAAGACTCCGGCGGCGCCTTCAGTCCCATTCTTTGCAAGTTCAGCAGCTTCAAGTGAGCCTTGGTAATATGCGGCGCCCGCTTCTCAGATAGGTCCTCCACCATGCGCGTTCCTTGCATATACTTCAAGATCTGCGGCTTCGGCCTCGGGATATCCTGCCAGTGACAGTCAGCACAGTTCAGAAACAATTGTTAGACAGATAGGTAGAGGCATTTATAACATCTCGGCTGGGGATTCCATATCCAACCCAAAAAAAACATCTAGGCAGATGGCAGCTCTTCACCGCCGCCAAAGCCTGCACACACATTCAACTTTCTTTCTCTCCCATAGATTCATGCAGCATTATGGCGCGTCGTTCTCTTCCCGCCCTATCAAGTAGGATTCAAAGGCGTGCGCCAAGCACTCCTTTACGCCACCTAAAATCAACTCCGGCTTCCTGCATGCATGCATCCATATACAACGCGCGCGATTTCCTTTACTCTCTGCAGTTGTTCATCCTTCAGTCTCGCACACCATCGTCTGACGTCTTGGGAACTGCGCACGGCTGCCCGCCATATTGTCGTTCGTCCTACTGCTATTAGTGTTACTGTTCTTGGCGCTGTTGCCGTGCGGCGTAAGTGGTGGCAGCAGCTGTTCTTGGCGCTGTTGGTCATTCCCATAGCTCCTGTATAAGCACACATCCGGCGTTGATTTACTGGTAGATCGAGCGACATCAGTGATTAGATTGTTCAGTCGAGGGGTTGAAGATTGTGTCGGCCGAATTGCTTGATTGATTTTTGTCGGATCGTTGAGATGCTCATTAGTTGATTGTTCGACCTGTTTGTAATCAATTTGTTTACTGTCGCAGATTGAATGGCATGCTGCTCAAGATTGATCGCTCGCTGTGGAATCAGAGCGAACAACATCTGTTGTTTCCGCATTGGGCAGGCTATACGATACTAGTCAATTCCATCGCAGGTTATGGTGCATACAGGGTGTACGATACCGATATATTCTATTGCAGGTCTTGGACCTCGTCGATCGACTGTTTTGATGATCTGATCGTCTGATTGGTTGGTTTGGTGAATCTCTGATCGTTTGATCGTTTGATTGGTAGATTGAGTCATGATTGGTCCGATTATGGCTGCTTGGAGGCCGCGTTAACGAGTCTGCCGCCGGTAGTAAGAACTTCGCGACTGCGCCATTTTTATCAGTGCGCTGTTATCGATGAGCTTGTCTCTCCAAGATCCTCGCGTCGACCTCGAGCGTCTTTATGCTCTGTCGTGTGGTTCATACGCTTTCGCCAGAGGCAGATGAACAGCTGGGTTGTGATCGTAGTATATTTTCTGTGTTCCTTTCCTATACGCCATTCTTTTGTCGCTGAGGATTCGCTTATTATGCGATGAGCTCGCGTCTGGCACGTCTGCAATGAATGCAGCCATCTCTCTGCCGTCCTCTGTACGCGGGCTTGGATGCGATGGAAGGGCCGACAAGGCGTCCTATGTTGGATGCAGCGTTTGGAGTTATCGAGGAGGGCGTGTGCTGTAGCGTGTCGTCGAAATCCCAGGCGAAAACATGCGGACAAGAACCTCAACGTGCTGCTTGCAGAAACGCCTCAAGCAGACCTAGCGATGGTGATATAGACCTGGGGGAAGGCAGAGAAGTGTGCGCGATGCGACTTCCTGAATTCTACCGTCTTCCCCCGAACACAACATACCCTCATCATGACTGTACAAGACGGTAAAAACAGGTTGTATGCATTCATGATCAGGGTGCATTGTATTTGTGACAACACGGTAGCAATGGGCACCCTCATGCAAATACAACACACGATCGATCCCGTCTTGTTGCCCGCGTCGAAATGGCACCCTCTATGTGCATTGGTACTGGGGGACAAATTTTGGGGGGAATTGTTGAACTGCCCGCCGCCATCTGATTTACACCTGTTGATGAAAGCAAGCGCTGTTCTGTACTCAATCGATCGATGGCATCTCGTTGATCCTCCTCAAGTCAAGCTCTGAGCCTGCGCTTTGGGACGTCCGTTCCGTGGTTATTCGATACAGGGAGAAGACGAGCATGCATGACCCCTGCGCAAGGATGACATGCGCAAATGGGAAAACAAGTGAGATCGCATCGAGTTCAACGAGTTGTGCTTGGAGGAAGAAGTGAGATGCTTCTTTTGTTCGACATGGCTTGCATGCTTTTGGACAGTGTTTCTTTCCTTGTTGATAGCAGCGGGATGGCTTGCGATCGTGAGACGAATCGTAGTCTGTGGATGATGTCTGATCGACAAAGCCGGGAAGATGACGGCAGGCTATTAACTGGCTGAGGGAGGAATGGGAGAGCGGAGGTGGGGCGGAGGGGAGCAATCGGGATCTGCGGTCGGGAACCAGCAGTAGGATGTAATAGCGGATCGGGTTGTAACCGGGTTGCCATAGTGAGAACAACTTGCATCTCCCAAGGGGTGGACGGACAGAGCAATCGAACTCTCGGCATCTTTTTTTTTTTTTTTATGAGCGCGCGCGTGCTTCCCGGATAGAGCGGATGGGATATTGGATCCATCTGGCTGGCCCAGACCAACCACGGCCGTTGATTAAGGAGTCCACACGGTTTGTTTAGCAGGCGGCGGTAGGCGCCATCAAGGACTGAACTGCTGAGAAAGTCTCTTGGAAATTGGGATCATTATTGATTCAATTAGTAGCAACCGCTATTGGAGGTTGAAGTGGCCCGTCGTAGATGTGGCGACCCTGTAATATCGCCCTTATTCGTGGACTTCTCTGCATAGTCCTTATACAGGAGCTATGGGGATGGGCACAACGGACGCACCTCCGCCACTACCGTCTTCTCCGCAATAGAACGCACGGTCATTACAGCAGCTGCATTTTGCTTCTCCTTAAAAAAAAGAAGCAAACATCTCCAGGGCCAACTTTCAGTCCAGAGACAGGGATGGTGACCGTGGTTCTATTCGGGGGAAGGCTTTAGCTTGGCCACGATGGAATTAGACAAATGCAATGTCTGCTAAACAAGCACAGAACAGTAGCTGTAGTGCGACCGTTCTGTGCTTGTTCAGAAGACATTGGCGCTGTCGCACTAGCGCCTGCAACTCGAGAGCCAACGAGCATCAACCACGATCGGTTCCTGGGACTATATCATTTCGCCGGATCACGAGTCCCGCTCCTCATTGGGCTCCTCTCCACGTCGGATCGCCATCCCCGCTTCAGATGCACTCCCTTTCCCCTTCCCAATTTGAATTCCGTCGCTGCTTGCTTCTCGGAGAACAACAGCGTTCATCATCACCCGCCGCCCGACAAGGCAGAGCTGTCAAAGCTGAGCCTATCAAGCGAACCTACTGCACGTTTTGCTAAGAAAAGCAGTGTCCAACTTTCTACACAACCTTAAACGAATCCTCTCAATCGTACCGCAGATGTATGCGACGTGCGGCTGGCCGGCTACGCTTGCGCATCCACAAGCCCTGCCCATAGGAGGCATGTAGCTCTTTGTGTGGGGGCTATTGTCCATACACTTGTGTGTTGAGTACGCGTTGGTGCGGCTCCGACAGAATCTAGGTAGGGATATTGTAAATTCATAGGTGTGCGGCTGGGACAGAAACTGCGTGTACTGGCTATGCATTGGTTCGGCTTCGAAATACAAACAACGAGGATTAGCAATTGCATTCCGCTTACCCTGGGGTCGCGCAGCGTCATCCCCGGAAGTAACGGGATTGGAACTTCTTGCCCGCAGATGAATCCCGTCTTCCCAGTCAGCATCTTGTCTCTTGTCCCCATCTGGAAATCGCGTGCGTACGATTTCTGATTCGCCTCGCACCGGGCAGGATGTGATGCAGCACAACACGGCCGACACGGTAGCACACTGCACCTTCTCTATCTTTAGCGCGCACTGCCGATACACACTCGCGCCCGCCCTGCGCCTTCTCCGTGGCACACTGCCGCCGTGCGACTGCTCCCCACAGCCTGCAGCGCTGATCTATTCAGTACGATGCTGCGCTCAGGCGCACGCGCATAGGCGCCAGGATGGAACGTTTCTTGAGCGCTCCCGCGGCGACCTGTACAAGCGCGCGCAGTCAACCACTCCTTCCGGCAATCACTTACATGACACATCCATCATCATATTGATTGATGAGCGGGTTGACTGGAAGACATGCTGCTGCTATACAGCAGTGTGGCACGCAATATACCAGAAATTGTCGCCTTGACAGCACACACACGGTGAACCACCGACGACGGACTCCTGCTTACAGTAGCATGTCGTGCCATCCAATTATCAACCCCACGACGGGGGCAGTCGCCTGCGGGATGGCCGGCTGAATCGGTCGGGAGAAGCATACACGGAGAGCTGTTCCTGCACACGTTCCCCTTCTACATGGGAGAAGCATACACGGAGAGCTATTCTTGCACACGTTCCCCCTTCACTACCTAGGAACGTTGCGGCAGTCGATGGACATCCTGCGTTATTGAAACTTTTGCGCCGTTTCAATTCGCAGACATGCTACAGCTCCCGCGCTTTTCGGCGCCACGTTTGCCGTTGGCACCCGCGCTTTGCGGCAGTTCGCCCCTGCGATCTCAGGGAACCCCGAGTGCCATCGGGGCCGAAATTCGTTATTTTCTTTCCCTTTTCTTTGCCCGACCCCTCAAAGATGCTGTGCCGAGGTATGCACCAAGAGAATATCCTCCTATTGTCCCCGCGCCCTGCACCAAGAGAATATCCTCCTATTGTCTACCGCGTGGGCGCGGGGAACGCAGCCCTAAGGTAGCCAAATCAATGAGACTAAGAGCTAACACGAGAGAGAGAGAGAGAGAGAGAGAGAGAGAGAGAGAGAGAGCTGTGTAACCGTTTGAACGCCGTGAACGCGCGTTCGTGTTCAAATGTGCGTTTGAACGCGGATTGCGCGTTCGCGTTCAAAATTGAACGGCGTTCATTTTTTATTTTTTTATTTTATTTTTTTTAAATCATTTTAATGCCTAAATATAACTTTTTTTTTCGATTTTTTTTTTTATGAGTTTTGTATGATGTGAGGTACATGCCTCTCATTGCTAAGGCAACAAAAAATGAAAAATCGCCAAAGATGGCAGTGTCAAATCGTGTTCGCTCACTAATTTCAATTCTTTTTTTACTTTTTTTATTTTCTGTTTTCTATTTTTTTTTCCCAATTTGGTAACGAATTTAGATGTAATGCTCAGGCAAATGTTGTTTATTTTATTGTTCTTCATAACATTTTTTTTTTTTCGGAATTTTTTTAGGGTTTTTTTTTTTTTTTTTTTTCCCGTGCATAATTGAACTCCACGTTCGGTCCCGTTCATTGAACGCGCGTGCATTCCGTTCAATTTATGAACGGAAAACCCGCGTTCAATGAACGCGCGGTTTCATAGAGAGAGAGAGTTTTGTTCCATTTGTTGATAAGAGAGAGAGAAAGAGAAGATAAACACATGCAAATGTAGACAGAACGTGCGAGGTTTTACTTTCACAATATATGTCCATTGCATGCGAGACCAGTCACGATTACCCTTCTACCTCACTGCTCAGGTAATCATTTCAGCCACTATCCTCAGTATTTATACCCTTTGTTCCCGGTCCTTCTCTGCCACTTTCCCTATCCTTGCAGTGTACTCATCATCTATCCTCAGGATCTCCCGCAGTCGCTCTCTGTGTTGTCCTTGTCGTCGTCGATTTCCAACATGAATTCAATCTGGAGCTACTTTCATCATATCTTATGATTCTGTTCGTTGATTGATTTTGTCACCCTTGTTTCCAGATATGTTCATACTGTGTTCGCGTTGTCTGATATGATTTCAAGTTTTAGAGATTGGTGGTAGCATGTTTGAAAAGATTTCAAACATTTCAACTTTTTCGTTTGATCTTCCTTACTTACTATTATGATCATCATTACATCGTCCAGAAAACTCATACCGTGGATAAGTTTCTCATCAATTCCAGTCTGCGCACACCATCTGTACTCGTCGAACGCGCATACCATGTTGGCAATGGGTGGGCTAGAGCCCTTCCCCATTGGTATACCCATTACTTGGCATAATAATGTTCCATGTACTTTGAAGTTTGAAGTATGCGTGTTTGATGTCATAGTACAACAGATCCATTAGACACTCAATTTTTAATGTTCTCCATCCATAGGTTCCGTTTGCTTTTCCAAAGTTCATGTACTTTCCTCTCATCTTGTAACACAAGTGAGTTTTCCGTTTTTCTTTCATCGTTTTCATCATCCATTGCATGACGTTTAACATATGTGTGTGATCGAGATTCGAAAACATATCTTTGACATCGTATGTGGAGCAGATTATCGTAGACATATCCCCGTATGTTTCTTTTGCTACTTGATTACATTTCTTTAGTCTAGGTAGTAGTTGGTTCGTTCCTTTTAGTGAGAAATCAACTTTCAATGCTTGACACATGAAGTTGATAGCTCTTGATAGTACCTTCGATGTCTTCCGAGATGACTTCTTATATGTCGACACAATTGGTCGGCGTCTGGTGACGTCCTTGTTTTTTGGAATTGTATACGCATTTCCGTATGATCTCTGTTCATCCCATTCTGCGATTTTCTTCAGCCCACATCCATGATACATATTTTTGGTCAATTGAGTGATCCCAGATTCCGTTTGTTGTATAATTTCGTAGTGATTCGATTCCAGAAAGAATTTTCGGGTCTTCTCGTACCAGATTTTACGACATTCCACAAAAGTTTCTCCAGGATTTATGTCCAATGGTGATAGGATACATTGTGTTAATCTTCTTTTTACTTCCCATACTTATGATATGTGAAGAAAAATCTCCATACTATTCTTTTTTTCGATGCAAGTAGAAACATTTATTTTAATTTATTTTTTCTTCCTTAGTGGTCGTGGTATACTTGCAATGGTAGTGATGATTGTCATTTTAATTTCTTCCTTTCCAATTCTTTCGTTCATATGGGGTACGTTTTTTGCATTCCACAAGAGCTGATTTTCTGTGATTTCACTTAATCTGCAGACAATGTGGTTCTCACTTTTTGGAAGTCGGGATACTGCACAATTACAGTCCGGTGCTTGTGTAAGCACCTGTATATGATTGTTTTTTTAAACATCACATGCATCCGAGTTGTCAAATCGTTTGCCAAATTATTAGTACTTACGTTTCCAAGATAGACTCGGTTGTTGTGTTTCTCACTTGCTTCAGATTAATGCATGCATTAAATGGAATCTTAAGTATCAACCTTCTCTTGATATTGAATGCAAACTTCTTCTTTGAAATTCGTGTGAAGATGCCTTTAATTGTTCGTCTTTGCTTCTTTCCAGTAATCGATCCACCTTTGATAGAAGAATCAGTATATCATCTAACGATAATTTATATAGTTCACTTCGTCTCCATGGTGCCCTCAAACAGTTAATCAGAATATTTCTATGTTTGTTTGTTTTCGGTCTCGTATGCACCAGTTGGATCACATAGAAGATACATCCATTTTCAATTCATTTTCGGCATTTTTTTAGCTGGAACTTTGTGTTGTCAATTTCTACAATTGTTGATCCGAATGTTCGTTTAATTACTTTCATTTTTTATTTCATAATTTTCCAGCTGTGCAGTAAATCATTGCTTTCGGTTGAAGTATTGATGTTAACTTCGTAGTGTAACCTGATCGAACCGATTTAAACAAAACATGTATATTCTGATTCACCTCATTGTTTCTATTCTTCTTCCTCTTTCTCCTTCTTCGTCTTCGGTTTTTTCGAGTCTTTCTGCCTTTTCACCTCATTGTTTCTATTCTTCTTCCTCTTTCTCCTTCTTCGTCTTCGGTTTTTTCGAGTCTTTCTGCCTTTTCAGTCTCCTAATCAATGCTGCTTTCATCCCTATCACCTCTGATCTCACTCCCGTCCAAATGAGTATCAAAACATATTTCTCCCAACCAAATTTGTGTAGCCAACTGTATAGTTTCCGTTGTGCTCCTCTATTTGGATTCTTAGCCAAGTTTATGTGTTCAGTTCATCTCTTGTCGGGCTTTCTTCCTGTCCTCCCCATGTACATATGTCTACACCAAGGTGAAACTCCCTGTACTAACTAGTTGCTCAATTTTCGTTGATAGTCTGTGTATCTACTCCCACTTCTGTGTCGTGGTGAGGTCGCCTGATGCTGATGTGTCTTCTACCTTCCTGACAGATCTTCGGCGCTCGAAGATGTGTTGGATGAGTCATACTCATCACTCCCGCTTGATCTTGTACTAAGGCTCTCGTAATCATCCACACTTGTGTCGCCGCCAGTTGTATTGGACACTCTGATGTTATCTGGATCTGGCATGATCTGTGTTTCAAGATCAGAATCCCGGTTGAAATCCCGCCCCTTGTACGCGATTAATCCAGGAACTTGCCTCAATTCCGAGATCGCTTGCGGCTTGTCCTTGTACCTGATGTCATGCATCTTGCATAAGACCTTCAGGTTCGTGTAGTGAAGACAAAGGAACTGCATGTCCGTCATCGGTTCGACCCTAAAATTAATGCTCCGTTTTGCCTTCGACTTCGCTGCCGACACGTTGCGATTAATCTTCATTCGTCCTCTCTTGGGGTGTGAAGGGGTTACGCGTCCCAATCTGCTTTTGTTCGGTGCGCTTCTGCTTGGCATGCTTCGACTCGGAATGTTGCGGCTACCATGTACTGAAGTGCGGCCAACTGTATAGTTTCCGCTGTGCTCCTCTATTTGGATTCTTTCCAAGTTTATGTGTTCAGTCCATCTCTTGTTGGGTTGTCTTCCTGTCCTCCCCACATACATATGCCTATACCAAGGTGAAACTCCCTGTACTAACTAGTTGCTCAATTTTTGTTGATAGTCTGTGTATCTGCTCCCACTTCTGTGTCGTGGTGAGGTCGCCTGATGCTGAGGTGTCTTCTACCTTCCAACAGATCTTCAGCGCTCGAAGATGT